AAAAAAAAAAAAAAAAAAAAAAAAAAATTCTCCAATAACTTTCCGATGCAAACAGAATAAAACCTAAACTTATCATGGCCTACAAGGATTTATGGTATGGGCCCTGCCTACCTCTCCAACTTTGTTTTCCTCTATTCCTCCCCAACTTATCTTAACTACGCCCAGTCACAATGGCCTTTCTTCTTGTTCTTTTTAACAGATAAATTCCTCCTTTATGAGGGTTTTTGCACTAGATGTTCATTCTGCTTTAAAAGATCATCATGGCTCAAGTATTGTTCAGATGTCTCCTTGAAGTGGCCAATCCCAACCTCTATCATATTATCTCTATCATAACATTTTGCATTTTATTCATAGAATTTCTCACATTATCTTAAGTCCTCTTACTTATTTTATGTTTATTGTCTGCCTGCTGCCACTATAACATAGGATCTCTGAAGACATGGATGGCATCCAGTTCAAATCTGTATCCTAAGTGCCTAAATACACTGCCTGGCATGTAATGAGTGCTCAAATATATTTGCTATTTGATTGGCTTTGGGATTCAGCTTTAAATGTCACTTCTTTAAAGTCTTTCATAGAACATGGAGTTTATATAATTTTTGGCATGATAATCTAATTACCACCTATCTTTCCCATTAAGTCAGATAAACTCTTAAGACCACAAAGTCTATGTCTATAATTCTTACCTCCCCTCTCCCCCCAAGTCTAAGACACTTCCTGGCATAGACAATACTCAATTAAAAGTTGGGATCTGGAGAGCAACTGGAACCCTAGTACTGGAGCAGAGCAGCAAATCTAGTCTCACAGAAAGGGAGCTCTACTGGGCACCAGAAGGCCTGGATTCTAGTCTCTGCTCTTGAGGCTTTGAGAAAGTCTTTAATCCTTCTACCCCTATTATCAAATACCAGTAACAACTCCTCAGTCTATCTCATCAAGCTCTTGTGATGACCAGGTGAGATAATGGGAAATCACTTTAAACGTGGGGTATTAATGTTATTCTGTCAAAAACTGCATAAAGATGAATATCTCTGGAAAGGCAAGTTAAAGAAAGTAATAAAGATAAAATAATATGTTAAATCTTAAAAATAAACAAACACGTAAGTAAACAAATAAATAATAAAAATTGGGAAGGAGGAAGGGAGAAGGGTTGGAAAGAGGTAGAAAGAGGGGCAAGAGATTATAAATTAAAGAGTATTTACAATAGGGGAAAAAGTGAGAAAAGGTATCAGGAAGACAAGATACATTTTCAAATATGTAAAACTTGCTTGTGTTTCCTAACTTAGTTTTCCTTTCTTGTTAATTTCTTCATAATATACTCATTATAGTAAACAATTCTGAAAATCTTCACCATTTTAGCAACCCTCCTAATCAACCTGCATTATCATTATCACTTTGTCTTCAGATGTTGCACTCAGCATTACAGGCTCAAAACTTGTTTAATCACAACATAATGAGATTATTTTTTCCACATGATCTAATATTTTAAGAAATGACTGTAAGACATTATGATTTATTTTATAAAAACAAATTATCATATTTTTACTCAAATTTGCTGAAACTTAATTATTTTGTAAAATTTCCTTCAACTGCCCTTCACAGCATTATTTATAAAAGTTTAATACTACAAAATAATATCTAAAAAGAAATTACTGTGAAACACCCAAATAATGGATTATGCAACTATTTATAAAGTGTTATTTATCAAAAAACTTTAATAACCTAGGAAAACATTTACATGTTAAGATGAAAAAAGAAAAAATAGAAAATCACATAAATTATTTATTACAATTTTGTTTCAACCCACAAGAACAAAAAGACTGGGAAGGCAACAAAAGTTAGGACTCTGAAAGCAGACGAAAAAATAGTAACTGAGCAGACCAAAGAATCTGAATCCTAAGTCAGCAATGAGAAAGCAAAGACATATTGATTTTCACAGCAAGACCCACAAAGATTCAGGAATTGACAACTCTTAACTCCCAGAACATTTCAAGCAGCCAAATATAAATATAAACCCTCTAGGCAGGATACTAGAATGTCTTCTCTGAAAACTCAGATTATCACAAAAAGAAAAAACAAAAAGTAAAACAAAGATAAAGATACTGACATTGGAGACTGTGAGAAAAACTTAGCCCTACAGTCAACAAGTCTACCCACATGCACAGAGCTTCCGATCACCTTTTCAGTGGCCCAGTTAATAATGGGCAAGGACCAACAAATACTTGAGAAAAGTCAAAGTCAGAAGCCAAAAACAACAAACTTAAAGATGAACTTGTAGAAAACAGACCATGCACAAAAAGAAAACCTAACAGAAACAATCTAACATTAAGATCTTTTGAAAGACAGAGGGAGGAAAAAATACTGCATTACTGCATGCATGAATACAAATAGGCTAAAGTTAAATACTGAAGGAAAATCTTCTCGGATATTCAAAAATACAATAGCAGAAATGAAAAAGTGAACAGAAGCATTCTAAGGCTGAAGAAATCTCCCAGATAATGGAAAACAAAGAGAAAGGAAAAGAGAAAAACTAAGAAAATTAAAGGAACCAGCATAAGGAGGTCTAATTTTTGAATAAGAGGTCCAAAAGGCAGATGAAAGCGGAGAAAAAGTAAAAAAATAATAATAATAACAAAGTAAGAAAATATCCCAGAAATGAAGGATATGTACTTTCAGGTTAAAAAGGTACAAATGAAAGCTTGGTACAATGACTGATAACAGACCAAGACACATGCTTATGAAATTCACAACACTAGTGACAAAACTCATACATGCTTCCACAGAGGAAAAAAACATCTAGGCAGGTGTGCACCCATTCTCACTAGTCACTCCTCTCTTGCCCTCACCCCAAATTATGTAGTTATACAACTGCTTTTGTACCCAATTGAGTGATTTTATTTTTACACTTATTAAATTTCATCTTTCATTTTGCTAAAAAATATATAAAAAATCTTTTATATTAAAGTATATAAAAAGACTTTAAGAATGTTAAAATGTTGATAAGTCACTTGAGACACTTCCATAATAAACACATGGCAGTTCACCTGTACTATTCTACCTGTTAGAATGCTTGAAAATTTACTTAATAAAAAGTAAAAAAAAAAATTATTTTAAAGATGCTGATGAGGTGCCTCTCACTTGACTAAGGATGAAAAAATATCTTTGTAGTAGATATGAAAATAACTTAAAATTTTGATTCTTAAATTTGTTCCTTTGTCCATCCACCAGTATCAGTCTGGGTCTTTCTTCATTTCGTACCGATAGTACTCCAACAGCTCCCTATCTAGTCTCTGTCTCCCTTTTTCCCTCTTACATTCTATAGCTTACCCTGGTACCAGTTCTTTTTCTAAAAACCAGATTTGCTCATACTATTCTCCTACCCAAGAACTTTCAAATGGCTTCCTACTGCCCATACATATGTCTGCAAGCTAGTTTTAGATTAAGATCTTTCTCATCATTTCTACCATTTCCAGGCTTCTCTCCTCTATGTCTCATCTACCCCAACTCTCCTTTAATGCTATCTGGTTTTGTTCACATTGCTCTCTGCCTACAGTGTTCTATACTCCCCTGTCTCCTACTAATGAAAACTCACTCATTTTTCACTTATCACATCCCATTTGAATCCTTCTAGACTCTGCAATGCAGGATAACCCAATCTCTCCTCTGAACTTTCTACTGCATTTTGTCAATACACCAACATAACACTTGTCACAATACATCATGGTTATTAGTTCACATGTACACATCATTCAGACCATGAGCTCCTTGAATACAAAGACCCTCTTTTACTGTAGCATCTAGCACAGTGCTGGGCACACTGAAGGTACTCAGATACATCAAGAAAGCTGGGCAAGCTTTTTTCCTTCTATCTCTTTCTCACCAATCCTAATAATTATAGTTCAAATGGTAGATAAGTGGACAAGAGCTTGGACTTCATCCAACCACACCATACACTGCTGCCAGAATACTGTTACTATAAGTCACTCTCCTGATCATTAACAGGGAGTAATTCCTCCAATTCATCTTTCTGGTTTCTAGGCTTTCTAAAATTAAACCACACTCTACAAAGCCAAGTCTTCTGTTCTTCTCCAGAAATAACTCTCTGATCCAATGAAGCTGATTTCTTAACTAATTTGACTATACCTGTTAAATTCAAGTCCTTATTCATTCAGAATTAAATAAATCAGAATTGAACAATGACCTCCTCTCACATGATCAAAAGAAACTTCAAAATAATTTTTCAGTAGACTGTATGTATATAACTTATTCACAGTGGCTACCTTCAATAAGAGACCAGACCCTAAGAGTTTCTTTTTATCCTTTAGTTTTAGAAGTTTACTGCAAAAAGACAAAGTATAGAGAAGCTGGCAGTTTAAAAAGGCAGTTCTCATTTCTGTTAGAAGAAAATTAAAAGCACCATTGCAAACAAACTACTTCCTCATCAAGATAACTTTTCTAACTATTCATTGCAATCATGAAAAACAATATATTCAATGTCTCAATAAGTAGATATCACCAAAAAGAACTTGATGACCATTTAAAATAAGATAGACATCATCACACACTTTCAAAATATTTACAGCAGAACAAGAACCAAATACTTACCCAAAGTAGGATGTAAATTAAAATTAAATTCTCTATACAGAACTGTGTCCAGCAGAGCGGCTACATCTGCGGATATAGCACATGCATTGCATAAGGCAGTATTTTGGTGGACTGGGCTGTAGCCCCAAACGGGACACAGAGAAGTTCCTGCCCACAAAAGTTCCCTGGGTATATAACCCAATCTAAAAGTCACTCCCAGTCTTCATCCCAGTGTCACTCAATACAAGAATCAAGAATTAAGAATTAAGGTAAAGGAAGAAGAGTTTACAATCAGATTTTGAAAAAAGTTTGTAGGTTGCTGTGTATCACACAAGTATGAAAATATATTATTATTCTTGGGACTGATCCTATGGAATGGAGAAGCCAGAAGTCAGACTTGATACTCAAGTAGTATCAACCTGCAAGTCCCTCATTAAACCTGCTCCTTTTAATATTAATTTAAAAAATCAATGACTTTATCCTAATTTTGTTGAGTCTTTCTTGGCAACTGGCAAAGAACACCTAAGATTCCTGAGCCATCTTAAACTGCAGAAGACATTACACCAATGATTTCAGTCTCATACAGATAATAAGCAGTATGTCATCTACCTTACCATTTTTTAACAGAAAATTAGGACAAATAAGCCTCCAATTCTGATAAAGATTATAGCGGGATCTACAATGAGTGCTTAGCCTGTTGGCATGAACTTTTATATCCTACAAGCAAACACACACTTGACTCAAAATAAAATCACAACATATAGCAAGAATAGTTTTACTTTGCATTTGTTAGTATAATAGGCTATAATTCACATGCTTGCAAAAGTGGAGATAAAACAACAATCAGCAAATTTGTAAGTCACCAGGAAGCTGAAGGTTTGGAAAAAAGGTAGCTATTTCCACTTTAATCTTGTCCCTCGAGTAGTGGTATGGGAGCAGACTCAAGAACAAAAAATGAGAGCAACCAAGGATAATTTACTAAAATTCACCTTAAAAAGATTGAATCTGCCATCTTGGATCTCTGCACCTGGTGTAACTTCCATAGTACAGTCTTCGGCCTAAGTTAAATAACATATTCCCCATTAAGATACCACATAATTTTTAATTGATAGGCCACATAAAGACAAACCAGCTGTGGCTAGTCTGTGAATTGAAACTAAAAACATCAGATAATCATTAATATGAAACTGTGAAAGGGAAGGAAGGGGAAAAAAACAAACAAGGTAAAATGGAATTTTTAAACTATCATATAGCATTTAACCACCTTTATAGGGAAAAACTGATGTATTTAGGGAGCAAAACTGGGATGGTAGAAAAGGCTGGGGTATTGTGGAATATTTACTAATTACCGTAATTTTATTTGTAGTAGAGGTAACTGGTATAACTTCCAGTCCCATTCGTATCCTCTTTTGTTTTTCACAGTAAGCTTTCCAGGTATCTTCATTAAACCCATAATTAAAATAATCAGAAAGATCAGCACCTAAAGATAAAACACACTTTTAGTGTACGAATATTTCAATTCTATTTTTATGCAGCACATAAAATATAATAAACTGTAAAAATAAATTTAGAGTTCTATTAGTCTCATCTAATTTTACCAATTCTCCCAATTACTACCATAAAGCAACAGGACTATACAAATTTTTGATCAAAATTACTCCCTTTAGAAATGGCATTATAGGGTAAGCTGGGACAAAGTGAGAGAGTGGCATGGACATATATACACTACCAAACGTAACATAACTAGCTAGTGCGAAGCAGCCGCATAGCACAGGGAGATCAGCTTGTGCTTTGTGACCACCTAGAGGGGTGGGATAGGGAGGGTGAGAGGGAGGGAGACGCAAGAGGGAAGAGATATGGGGACATATGTATAACTGATTCACTTTGTTATAAAGCAGAAACACACCATCGCAAAGCAATTATACTCCAATAAAGATGTTAAAAAAAAGGAATTGGCATTATAATAAAACAATATGCAAGTCTACTTTTATACAATGCTAGGCCACCTGTAAGATTTAATAATACAGGTTCATTATTACTCATGTGCTTAAGATAATGAAAATTACATTTAAAAAATAATATTCTAAACTGATGCTGAAAAAAAACTTTTCTAATAGTTTAGACTAAAAATCTTTTGAAACCAATCCACAATAATCTTACCAGGTTTACGCCATGGTTTATCTTCAAAAGAATCCAAATCTACCTCCAAAAGGGGCACTCCATTAATGCTTCCAGGTGCATCAAGATCTACTCCTTTGACTTTCGTTCCTACTTTAGAAAATTACAAAATGGTGAAGGAACTATATTAATAAGAAGCTGAGAGATACCAGAGACAAACAGAAAACAATGACACCTTTTTACTACTATTAGCACTAAATATGGCCAAGATTCCAAACAGAGTAGTAATGGTTACCACAAATAAAAAGTGAGGTCAAAGTTTATGGTGTAGCTATAAGATAAAATAGAGAGATTAGAGACTTCTTGTTTATAATAAGGGATTCCTGTACCAAGAAGTTAATTTCCATGTTTTAAATCATTGTCTTTGTACAGTCTGTGAGCTGTAAGAAAGGGTTGTAGAACCAAAAAACAACGGCAACAACAAAAAAACCCCCCACACACATGACAGGAACCCTATGTGACCCACACAGCCTAAACTATTCATTATCTAGCCATTTATAGAAAAGTGCCCATTCTATGATACATGGTCAAAAACTGCTCTTTTTAATTGAGCTGTAATAGCTATTAAAATCTATTCATGACCTATTCAGATATATGCCCTATTTTCTATTGATGCAACTGCAAATACAAATTTTACCTGTAGTTCCATAAACTCTTCCTCCTGTCTTGATGTTAAGATTTACAGGTGCTGTACCATAACTCCTAAAAGCAAAATCAAAAAAATTATCCTGAGATGCTTAAAGTAAACAAAAGCAGAATATATTCAATATGTACACATAAATTATATACCCACATATTAACTAGATAGACTGACACTAACTCAAACACTTTAGAAAATGTTTTAAACTAATTTAAAAAGCCTGTCACTTGCTTAATAAAAGATAAAAAAAATATTTTTTAAAAGTCTCACTAATTTTCCATCTCAAAAACCTACCCGCGATTAACTCAATATCCCACTCTAACAAACTTTCGAGAAATTTGGCTGGGAAGGGAAGAATAGTTTATATGCCTTGTTTTCACTTCCTGGCCTCCCAGTCATTCAACTGGACTTGTGAAAACTCACTGCTTCTGGTCTGCCTAACAATTTCCATCTTTTGTCTCCAATGTATTAAATTTATGAGACCTAGGTTATTCTGCTTAAAAAAATAAGGATATTCAATAAAATATTCAAATAGTTGTATAAAGATCCACTACTATAAATGCAAGAAGTATGAAGGAGACTAAAATAAACTGTCACTGTCAAGTTGTACTATCATTACCAACTTGAAAGGTTTAATCATCTCATTGACTAATTCTCTAATAAGTGCTTAAGCACCAGCAATACATCACATATAGTTCTAAGCCAAGGAGAGAGAATGAGGAGCTGGACAAATATGGTTCCTGCCGCATGATGCTTACATTTCAACAAGCTAAATTCAGCACAGCCAAAGCACTTTGAGGTATCTATATATGATGTACAAAAGTCCTAGCTGTTCGAAAGTCAATATACAAAAACCAAGGACTGTCTCCAAATGGTCCTCTTACAGACTGCTAAAGGATAAACCAAAACAGTATTTATAAAAGGCTTACCATAGTTCATTAAATGAACTTCTTTGCTTCCCACCCAGCTACTTTCCTTCCTTCCCCATTCTGCCCTTTAAAACATTACTTTTCTTTTTTAATGCCTCCAAGCCTTCACATTCATTGTGTGTAAAGAACCTTAGCTGTCTGGAAAACTGCGCTTAAGTAAATCTGATACCCCCATTCAATAGCACCCACCATGAGGTCTCAGGCTTCTCTAGGGGCTAGATCCTATATACTTGGATGTCTACAAAAACTTAAAAATAAATGTATCAAAAAATTTTATCTTAACCTGCTCCTCCCACCTTACCCATATACGGTAATACACTGTTATATACACACACTGAACTACTCTAGAAAGCTCCAAGTCACTGAATCCTTTGTCTCCCTTTCCATCTACAACCAACCCATTACCCATGTTATTTCCATTTATTATTCACTCAAATATATTGAATTCTTCCATCTATCCCTATATTACTGCTGCTGGTTTAGTTTCGACTATCATCTCACCTGGATGATTACTTCAAATCTATTAACTAAGTTCTATCTAGTCCATCTCAACTACTACTGCTAGAGTTATATTTTCAAACAATGTGACCTGCCTAAAAACCTTTAAGGGTTCCATCATGGCACAGCAAAAACATCCTAACTCCCCTCTTCTGTGGCTTCAAGCATCCTCTCTCATCTACCTTATCCTCCAGTCTTGTGGTTCGTCTAAGTCATGCTTCCACTACATCTAAGTAGTTTCCTCTGCCAAAATCATCAGTCCTCTTCCTTCTGTCTCGAGAATTATTCAAATTCATATATTACCTCCTCTAGGATCTTCTCTTCAACACATGCACTTTTAGCAACTGTCCTCTCAAAGCTTTCCAATCACCCTGTACATGTTTCTATTCAAGCACTTACACTGCAAGGAAAGTATCTGCTCACATGTCTATCTCCCTCACTACTTTTGATAAATAAGGACAGTTGATATTCCCATCATCAATTATTAGAGTGCCACACAAACTGCCTTTGAAAAGTGTTAATGAATGAGAGGCTGAATTTCAAAGATACAGCTAAGAAACCACTCCTCTATACAAGGTAAATTATTCCTACCCTAAGATTTGATTTTCCACATACCTTACTTACAGATACAATAAACTCTGTAACAAAAGTATGTCACCTAAAAGAAATTCTAGTCTTTACCTTCTAACAGCTTATAATAAACCAATTTAGTATTGTTCCTTGAAATCAATTTGCTCTTTAAATTTGCCTCTGAAATGCTGTGCACAAAGTAAATATTCATCAAATTTTATTTTCTCCCTGGCTTTCTTTCAGTTATCAATGGATATATCTTGAGATATTAAGGTTAAACAAGCTTTATACTTTTCAGAAAGATCTGTAACTTACTTTGAAATGCATAAAAAATACAAAATAAGGGGACTTCTCTGGTGGCACAGTGGTTAAGACTCCACGCTCCCTGGTTCGATCCCTGGTCAGGGAACTAGATCCCACATGCAAGCCGCAACTAAGTCGTTGTATCCCACAACTAAGGAGCCCATGTGCCACAACTAAGAAGCCGGCAAGCCGCAACTAAGACCCAGCACAACTAAATAAATAAATAAATAATTTTTTTTTAAAAAAAATACAAAATAAAAAAGATGGATTGATGAGTGGGTGGAGGCATGGAGATAGGCAGGTAGGTAGATAGACAGATAGGTGATAAAGCAAACACAGCAAAATGTAAATTGTATAATCCAGGTGATGAGTAAATAAATGGGTGTTCACATCAGTTCATTAAACTTCGAGTGTTTGAAAATTTTCGTAATCAATGTTGAGAAAAAAAAGTTCAAAGACAATTGTGTTTTTAATACGCAGTCAATTTAGTGAATAAACACTTACTACTTACTATATTTAAGGCAATGTAAGGAATAGGAAAATTCATAAACCACTCAAAGAATTTAGAATCTAAAGGTAATAAACACGTGCGAACATAATTCAATCCATGAAACCGGAAATTTTGTTATAAGAAATAAAGTTCAGATAAAGTACTATGGGAGTCTATATGTATTTAATATTTGCATGCAAGTCCCACCCCAAAATTGGTCATATTAATAAAAAGTAATCACCATTTGCTTTAATTGTTCTGTACTTGAAAATACAAATAATTTTATATTAAATATAAGTATTTACTAAATATGCAATTGATTATTATAGTATTATGTTAAAGTGTTCCTTCTGCATAATGCAGACAGATAAAGGCCTATTAGCATAAAGGCTTACTAATATCATAGCTCAACACTAATTATTTACTTTAAGTGGGGATGAGGAGAACATCAAGAGTTATCCTAACTTGAATAATTTAGTCTCTTCTCAAACCTGCTCCCTAAAAAAGTTGCTAGGGTCTTAAAATTACATCAGCAGTCATTATTATAATGCAAAACTGATTATGACAACTGAATTACCTTTAAGCTTCTTGAAATAACTTTTGAAAAAATTTCTCTACTGAAGAAATAAAAAATTCAAAAGGATTTATGTATATATTGGTCCGTTTCAGATAAGGCTACTTAATGAACTATAGTGCAATTAATGAAAAGTTTACTTTATATTCCCAACGCACTAGTACCACATCATACATCCAATCTGAAAAGGATAGAGAAAACGTCAACTCATATTCTACCACCATAACAAAATCACAATATGTACTTTATTCCCTTCCAATCTTTCTGTAAGATTCTTTATGTGCTCAAGGAGTCAATGACAGGCCATTCACTTGATCCAGCTTTACAGACTATAAACTTTGAGACAACCTATTGGCATAAATAGCATACAGGATAATTAACCACTTGAAAAATACACTATGAAAAGCAAAAAGAAATACTTTTGATATTGTTTTTATCGGACAAAAAAATTAAAAACCTAAACTGAAGTCTGGATAAGTAATAAAATGTAAGAACAATATAGATGTAAACAGCAAATTAAGGTTTTCTAATTCTAATTAAAGAATCTGGGGACTTCCCTGGTGGTCCAGTGGTTAAGAATCTGCCTTCCAATGCAAGGGATGCAGGTTGTATCCCTGGTAGGGGAACTAAGATCCCACATGCCACAGGGCAACTAAGCCCGCGCACTGCTACTAAGCCCGCATGCTGCAACTAGAGAAGCCCGCGTACTGCAACGAAGAGGCCATGCTCCTCAAAGAAGATCCCGCGTGCCGCAACTAAGACCTAATGCAGCCAAATAAACAAATAAATAAATTAAAAAAAAATAATCTGGGGCTTCCCTTGTGGTACAGTGGTTGAGAGTCCGCCTGCCGATGCAGGGGACGCAGGTTCGAGCCCCGGTCTGGGAGGATACCACATGCCGTGGAGCGGCTGGGCCCGTGAGCCATGGCCGCTGAGCCTGCGCGTCCGGAGCCTGTGCTCCGCGACGGGAGAGGCCACAACAGCGAGGCCTGCGTACCACCCAAAAAAAAAAAAAAAAAAATCTGTATCACTCAATTCATTTGTAAAAACATTTCAATTTCAGGAATCAAAAACTGCTGCTTCCATGTAACTTTACCTAATTAACTTTATGTTTAAGAAAAAAATATTTTCATGGTGAAATTCCTTTTAGTCATGAGATGTATTGATACTTGACATATAACACTGTATTAATTTTAGGTAAAAAACATAATGATTTGATATATATATAAACTGCCAAAATGATTACAATAAGTTTAGTTAACATCCATCACCAAAGATAGATACAAATATTTTTTTTCTTGTGTCAACAGCTTTTACTTACTGTCTTAGCAACTCATCACGTGAAATCATATCATGGTAAGATGAAAAAATGTAAAAACATTGGAATCAACCACCAATTGTTTGATATAGACACACCACCTTTGACTTAAGCACACAGTTGTTACTTAAAAATAACTTACCCATACTGTGGTGCTCCCGTTTTAATGTCTCCTATAGTGACATGAACATCATCCTCATCATCATCACTGTCGCTATCACTATCGTCTTCAGTCTCTGTCACTTTCTATATCAACATAAACAACCACAAAATACACTCAATAATCCATTTCAACGTCTGATATAAATAACTGAAAAGGTAACCATTTTGCATTTTTTGAGCTAATTCTAGAGAAAAAGTTATAGTACTACTACCTACTTCAACTCATTTACAACTTTGATGTTTTGCAATGATAAAAAGGGATAAGAATGTGAAGTAAACCTTTTTTTCAACATTGTCTTTTTGTAAATAACACATGTATTTTTTCCTACTATTTATAACTGCTCCTCTTGCACAAAGGATCTAAGGCAATGTACTAAAATACCTAGAAGATATTTTTAAAATATTTGAGGAATTCTTAGCAAAAAGAACATGAAGGTAAGAGGAAAACAACTAATTTTAAGGGTCACAGTGTCACCGTTAAAAGCATCAAATAGTTAAAAAGCAGCTCACTTATTCTTGACATTCATGTACACATAGAAAAGGTCCTGCATGCAAATGATTGAGGGAATACTTTGTTTCTATGAGTAAAAGTAGGGACATTTATGAAAGCTTTATTTTGGCTCTAAAAGGCTGTTCTGTGCTTAGTCACATAATAGTAAATTTAAAAAGTAGATCACCAAGGCTAAATACTTTTTTGTATACAAGTTCAAGCTTGCAGAATAAGAATTTCCTTCTTTTTACAAGATTAAAACATTAAAATATTCATGGGACCGATGATTTGTTCACCCCCCAAAATATCACTTTTAACAGGCATGAGGTCAGACTGTCATTTATATAAACAGTAATTTTTGCTAAAAAACTTGACAAATTTGAGTTGAAAAACTCTATGTCTGCTTTGAAAACCAGGCTCACTATGATCTATCGAATTGACCTATGACCACTGGGTTCCTTGGTAGCAACAAACATCAAGCCTTTGCACATGCCCCATTTCATCTGAACTCTCCTCCCACTATTTCTTCTCATGGTTACACTTTTTTGACGGCACCAGATGACACAGGAGATACAAAAGGGGCCCGATTATGCAAAATATTGGCAGTCATGTTAAATTCTGGTTTTCTTCCTAAGTGAACGGGAAGCTATTGATAAAGATTTTAAACAGATAAGTAACCAGATCTCAAAGCCTTATGTTACCGGTTTAGGTACGCCATTTTCAGGAGTTTCATCTTCAATTCCCGATGGAGGGTTAGCACTACAAACAACAAAAATAAGTACACAACTGGTATTATTTTTCTGAAGTACAGACGGAGCATACTAGTATTTTTAATCTATGTCTGATAGTTTCCTGAAATTACTGTCTCCACCAGAGACGAAAAAAGAACTGCCTGTCCTATTCTGCTATTCCTAATGCCCTACATAAAACGTTTACACTCAATACTGGAAGTAGAATGGAATTGCCTCCACAATTTGTTAACGATGCCAAATTTGCAATTTGACGGTGGGGTATAATTTGAGTTTTTACATTTTTAAAATATGCATCATACTTAATCAATTTTATTTATCCTAAAACTACAATGAACTTCAAGGTACTCTAGGAATTGCCAAGGGCTATGTAACACACAGTTTCCTCTTTTCCCTGGTGCCCAAGGAACTCAGATGTGCAGTATGATGACGTTAACTCAGTACTGAGTTAACACACATGCTTCTTCCTAGTTTTCTGTTTCACCTGTCTTATTAGATATATGTCCTTTGTTGTATAAAAAACAAATTTTAAGATTTAAAAAAAAGTTTACTTTCATGTAAAGACTGCCTTCCAATTTGACACTAAGGAGCTCCAGACCTAATTTTGATGCATTAAAAAATAATTACTTTTTTAAAGCCAGTTAATACTTGAATTTGCCCTGTTACAACAAAATTGACATATAACAATAAACACTTATTCTCAAGAGACTCAAGCATATGGCCATTAACCATGAAATAAAACTTCTAGTACCACGGTGCAAATGGTTCCTTATATTTTTAATAATTATGATTTTGAAAGTGGGAATTAACCATTAACCTCATTTTATAGATAAAGAAATTGAAATACAAGGCAACTGACAATTATTTAGTAGCATTTCTAGGGAAAATGTCCAGATGTTGATATAGTTCAAAGCTGTTTTCACTGGGTTTCTGCTAATCTCTAAACTTCACTTTTTGTCAAGCAGTTTCTATATAAACTAATTTAATCTCTATAGTGGTATTCTGTAACACAATCTCCAAACAAAGCAAAATGAAGGACAAAACCTGAAAACTTATCTGTTAAATTTTCATAGTTCTAATGCTTGACCCTCCCCCCCCCAAAATGCAATTATAATTATTCAGTACATTTCTCAGATGTAAGTTGAGCTTGTTCTTTATGTCACAAAACAGTATGTTTAGCCACAACTTTGAAATAAAACAAGACAATCAGAGACAGCACAGTGCAATGGTTAAGAACAGTTTTGACAATGGGCCAATCACAAAGAAGCTGGGGAAAACTCTAATAGCAAAGACTCGGCTCAGTTAGGGCAACGAAGTAGGTACTGCACTGGATAGTAGAACACAGTTTGGCAGAGCTCTCTTCCCCAATAGACTTTTGAAAGTTTTAATTCTCTTTCACCATTAAAACACTAGAAACATGATAAAATTATAAGCTTTATCTAGAAAAATAACATTTTAAGGGTAGATCTTTTCCTTTGGATGAAATAAACTTAACAGCTTTCCAAATAAAATGTTAATAAGGAATATAAAGACATTTTGACAGTGATAGGGAAGGGAGAAGGGTTCCTCTCCAATCAATTTAATCAAGCTGTGTATTGAGGAATCAAGGAATATTTAATCAGAAAATAAGCTTCAAGAATTATATCTAAGAATATTAACAAAGTAAAATAAAAATTAGTTCACAAAAATGTGTATCTGATTGTTATCATTAATTTCTTGATCAACTGAAAAATCAGGGTATGAAGAAATATTACTTTCATAACTATTAAACTACACAAATCCCAACTCTGTGGTTAACTAAGAGTAGGGTTAGGAACTGGGTTGGATATATCCATTTCAAAACGAAATGACAAGGGCTTCCCTAGTGGTCCAGTGGTTAAGACTCCAAGCTTCCACTGCAGGGGGCGGGGGTTTGATCCCAGGGGGATGTTCCGCATTCCACCAAAGGCGGACAAAAACAAAAAACCCTAACTGACAAGATTTCAGATGATACAGCAATGAATAAATGAATAAATAAATAAATAAAACCAAAAAAAACTTCCAACAAAGGGTTTTTTTTTTTTGTTTTGTGCTACAAGGGCCTCTCACTGTTGTGGCATCTCCCATTGCGGAGCACAGGCTCCGGACGCGCAGGCTCAGCGGCCGTGGCTCACGGGCCAGCCGCTCCATGGCATGTGGGATCTTCCCGGACCGGGCACGAACCCGCGTCCCCTGCATCGGCAGGCGGACTCTCAACCACTGCGCCACCAGGGAAGCCCTATAGGGGTATTTTTAAGCAAGGAACAATAATCTCAGCACCCCCTGAGCTGTTTCCACTTCTCACTTCTTCCCTCCATTAACTTTTTAAAAAATAACAGCTTTGAGATACAATTCCTGTACCATACAATCCACTCATTTGAAGTGTACAACTGAAAGGTTAAGTATATTTACAGAATAGTGTATGTACGTCTATCTATCTAATTCCAGAACATTTTCATCACCCCAAAAAGAAACCTTATATATTTGTAGTCACTCTCCATTTTCCCCTGTCCTGGTAACTACTACTTTCTGTCTCTTTGGATGTACCTATTGTGTACATCTAATATAATAAGAAACACAATATGTAGTTCTTTGTGACCGGCTTCTTTCATTTAGCATGTTTTCAAGGTTCATCCATGTTGTAACACTATCAGTACTTCATTTCTTTTTACTGCCAAATAGTATTTCACTGTATGGATATACCACTTTTCTAAATCTATCCATTTGATGGACACGTGGGTTATTTCCATTTTTTGGCTATTATGAATAATGTTGCTATATATGGTAGCTCTACGTTTAACCTTTAGAGGAACTATCAGACTGTTTTCCATAATAGTTGCACCATTTTACAATCTTACCATCAGTGTATAAGGGTTCCAATTTCTCCGTATCTTCACAAGCACCTGTTAACTGTCTTTTTGGTTACAGCCATCCTAGTGGGTGTGAAGTCGTATTTCCCCCTCTTTTTAAACCCAAATATTCTTTAAAAGTCCTTTTTGTAATCACGCCTCCCCCACTATAAGACACTAAGGCATCTGGTCAGTGATGTCAGCATATCCATGTACTTGTACCCATGAGCTATTCTGAAATTTAGAATAAGTTTCTGGCTCCCTGATATGTTCTGTAAATGATACTCAGACCTTTCTAGTAATCTAACAAAGGCAATCAATCTTATAACAAATTCATTAATTCCACTTCGAATTTTAAATAAATACGAAACATTGAAATTATAACCACAATGCATTACACCATCAAAAATATTAAGTTGTAAAAGTAGTTACCCAAGGAATTCTTTATTTTTAAAAAATTTTTAAGTTAAAACTTTTTTTTCTTAGTAGTCTGATGGTTATACTGTATACTCCATTATTGAGCTCATTTAAGAGTACAAAGTTACTTAATAGTGAAAAATATCCAAACCCTTACTTCAAAAACATTTTGTCCCCTGGGCTACTAGCAAATAAACAGAATTGGTACAAGACTACGTCCTGAAATAGTAATAAACTATAAAGGACTCAGTGTCTTGCTATCTTTGTCAAAATGTAATCAAACCAATGATTATAACAAAATAATTCTGACAATCTGCTGACAGAAGCACTGTACCACACAATCTGCAAAAGCATCAACAAGAAATTTCACTAACCTGGCATTTTCTTCTTCTGGCCTTTCAACTTCATTTTCATCTACCAAAAAAAATACATAAATAAATAAATAAAATTAACAAACAAACCACTCTTAAAGAAACCAGTATTATGAAAATCTGAAGTGATCATCACAAGCACTAACCTAGGTCCTTTGCCAAATCACTGTGCACATGCACGTCCCATGGGCCTATAAGCACATCCAAAGTTAGATCACCTTATAATGACTTAACAAGATATGTCTTTTATGAAAAATAAAGAAATAAAAAAATCAGACTTTACTTCTACAAAAATAAACTTAAGAAGTATTACAGATTTCTAGACCTTTGTAAAAGAAACCCTATACATTTACATTTCAAACAGTACTACGAATGCTAAATCTTGCCGCCAAAGACAACGTATTTTACAAGTTTATCAAAATCAAAGTTTGTCGAAGTCACATTATCAAGGAGCTGCGTGGTGCCCAAACGTGCACTTTTACTAAACTATCCTAAAGACAATCAAGAATACGCATTTTAGGCAAAGAACAAACATTAACTTTCAAATCTAGTACCGGCAACAGACAAGAAGGGACTGTGACTTCATGGAAGTTAAAAGCCAGATGTCCCTTTCAAGGGGGAAGTAAAAGATGCAGTAAACTTATTTTATGAAAAAGATATACACGAAGTGATACTGAAAACCGTAAGCCTAAGGGACATGAGGTACTTCTACGTGGGTTAAAACGCAGTCTCTTAAAAAAGAAAAACTTCACCTTAATACAGGAGACATTCGGGGTTTTCTTTATGGGCCATAATGTATTCCATCTCTTTCTTTCTCTCTCTCTTTTAATTAATTATTTTTAAAGCACGACTTTCACACAAGGAGGTACCCTTGCAGGTGCATTCCATACAAACTGACCATCAAGAAACAAGACGTTAGTTTTACAGCATCAACTTTATTTAGCTATTATTACAGAATGACTGTTCCTGGGACAGGAAGGGCATCCCACAGTCAAGGGGCAAGAAGAGACACACCAACACAGCTTAGAATCGATATAAGAAAACAAGAGGAAAAGCGCACAGAGGCGAGGCGGCCAAGAAGCCCGGGCGGAGTGGACGGCGAGGCTGGGGTCCCAGCCCCTAGCCCCCTGCCCAGCGGGATCCCAGCCGCCACCTGGTGGGTGCGTGTTGGGGGCGTGGGCTGGGCGGGAGGAGGCAAGGGGGGCGGGGGACGCGCACGCCGAGCTCGGCCTAAGTCAGGCCGCACGAGGCTCCATGCAAGAGGCCCCAGGCGGCGGCGAGAGGGCCCCAGGACGCCGGCCGTTTGCGGGCCGGGAAGGGAGGCCTGAGAGAACCCGGGAGAGAAAGAAGGGACAGGAAGTTCCGTACCGCCATAGAGCCACTCTTCCTCCTCATCCCCTCCGGTCCCGCCGCTCAGCTCCGACACTAGGCGCTCGACCTCGCCGGCCGACATGGCCGCCCCGAGCACAACTTAAAGGCGGCGATCAACAGCCCCCTCCAACCCTTCCCCAGCCTCGCTGCCCGGGGTCTCGAGAGGGGCGCGAACCCGCCGGCGAGCGAACGAAGAAGGCGCGAGACTCAAATCCAGGGTAGGTGGCCCCGGCGGCGGAGGCGGCAAAGAACACGGCTCCGGCGCCGGTCCGCCCGCGCCCGCGCACGCGCAGCAGCACCCAAGCAGCGCGGAGTCTCTAGGTGGCTTCGCTTCCGCGGCGGCGGCCACCTGAGCCTGGTTGCGCCTGCGCACCGTAGTTGGCCCCGCCTCCACGGGATCTCGCTTGCCTTTTAGCGTGGCTTTCTCCCGTGACGTCTTACGTAGCTACGATTCCCCTCCCCCAACGTTCCTTCGGATAACCTGTATTGCTTTTGCTGGAGAGTGCACCGTCGTTACTTTCTGCGTGTGATGCTTGCTTTCTCGTTTTGTTTTTTTAAAATCTTCCGGAAGGCCTTGTTTTATTCTTTACTTGTATCAGACTTGATCCAGAATCGCCTTATCAGTCCCTGTTTCTCATTAGAGAAGAAATCATAATTCATGCCCACTTTCCTGAAAAATTAATTTTAACAGCAAACAAAAGCCAAACTAAAAAATGAATAATGCATTCTCTTTGTCAAAAAGTCAAAGACCTTCTCATCCACTACCCTCCTTTCCAGAAGTAGCTCTTGTTTTTCTGTTTCATGTGCAGCATTATGAAATTTTATACATATTTGCTACACGTGTATTGTTTTGATGAAAGAACCTGAGATTAATGAGTCTTAAGGGGTACAATATTGTATGTATAATTGTGTAGATTTGTTTATTTGATTGGTTGGTTTGGTTGTTTTTTTTTTCTCAGCAGTGTCTTGGAGGTCCTTTCCATATTTGTGTATGTCAAACTATGTTCATTTTTTAAGTGCTTCATCATATTTTTTCATTTATTTAACAATTATTGAATATCTGCTGTTTAAGAACTTAGGAAATAAAAGTATGAGTAAAGCACAGCGCCTGCCCTTGAGAGCTCCCAATTTATTGAGAAAGGCAGAATGGTGGTGAACAATTAACTCACTTACAAGGGAAAGGTGGGTCTTAATAGAAGCACAAAGTGTTTTTACACCACCAATGCCACACCATCTCATGCTATTTAAACAAATCATGTGGTTTTAATCTCCCTAACCTTTGAACATTCCTCTATTGCTATTCTCAGCCTCCCTTATCTGAAGGGGATAGATAATCCCTTGTGTATTTCTAAAGTCTGTTGAGATATAGTCAACTTTTGAAATCTTTCCTGAACCCCATTTCTTTATTTATTCTATAAATACTTATGGAGGGCCTACCAAGTGCCAAGGACTCTTCTAAACTATGTAGATTCAGCAATGAGTAAAACAAAGTCCTTCCTCCCGTGAAGCTTTCATTCTAATGAAAGGGAGACAGACAATAAACATATAAATGTACAGTATGTCAGATAGTGATAAGGATTATAAAGTAGGGTAAGCAGGAAAGGGGGACCCCGAGCAAAGTGATGAAGAGGGATAGGATGCAATTCTATATCAAGTGGTCAGGGAAAGCCACTCTAATGAGGTGGTTCAAAAGTAGAGACCTGAATGGAGAGAAGTAAACCGTTGTGGATTTCTGGGAGAAGCTCTATCAGGTGGAGAGAATAGGAAGTGCAAAAACCCTGAGGCAGAAGCGTACTTGGAGCATTCAAAGAACCCCAAATGTAGCTGGAGTGGAGTGAGGGAGAGAGGATATGTAGATGAGATTAGAGTTATTCTGGAGTGGGTACTGCAGAGCTAATCATTCCTTTCTGCACAGTATGCTGATTCCATGGCATGTGTCTATCACATCATATAGTAATTATTTGACTACGTATCTGTTTTCCTAAGACTTCACCAAATCCTCCCTCAAACAGGGCATCTTCTTATATGTCGTTCTAATTCCTGGTGTGTTGCCTAGCACTTAGGAGATCTTCTTGGCCTCTACTGACAGTAACAAAGTGAAGATTTTACATTCTGCTCGAGAGTGTCATAAGGCATTCACTCACATTCCTGTCTGTTTATGTTTCTATTTATCATTCTATGAGTCTGTAATGATGGTTTCATGGGAGAACAAACTGCCTTTTGCTGAAGAGCCTCTTTCTCCTTTCAGCTGCCTGAAATGAGCTTGTCTTTCAAGGCATTACTTAAACTGAAGAATTGATGAATAATAATTGATGCATCAGAATTGCCTTCATGGTGGAGGTAGCATTTGAGCTAAGCTTTGAAAATGAAGATTTTCACAAGCAGAGAAGCCCATAAATCACTAATAACCACTCTTAAAAAACCTCTTCCTTCCTTGCTTCCAAACTGAGTTCTTTGCCTGGATAGACTTCCTTAGTTAAAGGTATCTTTATCTCCCACCAGGGGAGACTTCAAAGACAGGTAGCTTGAAGATATTATATAAAATTATGACCTTATCAAACTACGATACTCCATATATTCTGATATTTGTTTTCCATTGTGTGTGTGTCTGTGTGTCTGTGTTGGTGTGTGTGTGAGAGAGATCTGCTGGTTCTTGGCAAAAAAAAAAAAGCCGAAAACAAAAAAGCAACAGTTTTAATGTATCTATCTCTGAGAAGTACTGAAAGGGAATGCTCAGTAGATGATGATTAAAATGATGACAGGAGGTAAAGATCAAATAAAGGTGCCTTGCTCAGTATTTAGTAGATAGTAAGTACACATAGATGTGTTTTGAATAGATATGGCATTTAGGCTCGACTATACTATTCGCTGCCAGCTTTAGTTATGTCATTTCAATGTTCCTCATTTTCCTTATCAGTAAATTGATATATTAAAATAGCATTTTATACCCACTTCTTGGAAGGATAACAAAGGTAAAATGAAGTTTCAAACGTGAAAGCATTTGACAAATTAGAAGTGACTGGTAAAAGAAGTTTTCATATATTGAGGTAGGGGGAAGTCATTCTGGCTTATCCGTGAGTTAACTTGAATTTTATGCTAACTAGCCTGTTTGTGGCCTATGAAACATACTTTGTACCTCTTCTTTAATTATGAAAGAAAAGGGCACATTGACCAGAAGTAAAGAATGTCCATGTTAAAAATAAAGATTTGGGACTTCCCTGGTGGTCCAGGGGTTAAGACTTTGCGCTTCCACTGCCAGGGGCGTGGGTTTGATCCCTGGTCAGGGAACTAAGATCCCTCATGCCATGCAGCCAAAAAGTAATAAGTAAATAAGTAAGTAAGTAAATAAATAAATAAATAAATAATATTAAATGCCTCCTTTCCTGGGACACCAGAGCTGGTACTCCTTCAATGATAAGACTAACTTTCCAGGTGCCAAGGCCATACAATTCGCTGTGTACCTGCTGATCTTTTTTCTCTTTTTTGAAACCACATAAGAATGTATCCCTGACTTGTTTGATGTTCTTTCTTCTGATAAGACATAAAATTGTGCTGAAGACTATGCTTCTCCGGAGCAGTTCCTCAGAATTATCTGAGAGGCTGTCTTCCAGGCTATAGTCCTCAGTCTGGCAAATAAAACTCTTTGCTATGCTATTATAAATTGTTTATTGATTATTTCCTTCAACATATGCTATGGTTTAGGCCTTTTGTCCTTTGAACATCCTGAGAAACTGCACATGTGTAGAGTTTTCCTTTGTCTCTAGATACCACAACAAAGAATTAAGCCTCAATTATCCATCTTCCTCTGCATTCTGATATATGTTAACACTAAATTCTATGTTGCTAGTTGTTTCTGGCAATTGTATCATCTATTCACGTCTACACTGCTATGTAAACTTCACATTCTTTAAGGGTGAAAACAAAATTTTTTTCTTTACCAGATTCTCTCTTACAATATCAAGCAAATGGGAAGTGCTTAGTAAATCCTTAAGTGTTGATCATGAACAGAGAGGACTTAGAAATGAGATGGAGATAGGCTTCATTTTATGAGAATAGAAAATAATTGCTAGCTATTTTGAGCAGAAAAGTACAAATCACATTTAAATAAGGTACATCTGATGGTCTTAAGCATGCAATTTTAGCAAGAATTCATCTAACTCTGCCATGATGTCTGAGATGAAGAAATCAATTTTTTCCTGGGTTTTCTTCTCTTTTCTGTCTACCCTGTCCCCTGAGGTTATTTCATCCAACCCCATGACTTTTAAGACTGTCTATGTGATATATATCTATGACTCTCAATTTTCTGTCTGCATTCTTAATTTATCGTTAAGCTCAGGACAAGCTGCTCACTCAGGTGCTTCACCTGATGCCTCTCTTGGGTATTTAATAGGCATCTCAAACTTATGCCCAAAACAGAACTTGTGAATTCCCTTCCCAAACCTGTCCTATCCCACTTCCATTCTCTCCCAAGCTTCTCCATCGTATTATGAATAACCACCATCCAACCAGTTGTTCAGCCGAAACCTAAGGAATCATCCTTGATTCCCCTCTTTCCCTCTTGAGTCCCTCTCACGCCTATAAAAATCCATTAGCAAGACCTGTTACTTCTTCCTACAAAATATATCCCAAATCTGTCTACTTCTCTCCATCTCCACTGTCTACTTCTCTCCATCTCCACTGCAATTCACGTAACACAAACCCTTCAATAGTTTCCTGTTACACATAAAATAAAATCCAAACTTCCTACCACGTGACCTATAAGCCCCTTCATGATCTGGCAGCTCTTTGGGTGGCATGTGGCTGTACAGGTTGTGTATTGCCCAACTTTATGCAGTCCCCCCACATTTCCTCATTCTGAGTCACTTTTTGTCAACTCTTTAAGTGTCATTCCCTTATATACTCTATGCTTATCCCCTCCCAGTTTCTTCAGGCCTGAATTCCAACTCTGTATCTAACTCTCAGTCCCTAACTTTGTTCCGTTATATATACATGTCCCACATGTCCATTATGTATACATGTCAGTATTTTAGCAGAGATGTCTCTACTCATTCACTGAAACAGAAATCTAACTTCCCTCCAGGGACAGCACATCATCCTCATCCTTCTCTACTGTAGACCCACCATTTTTCTTCACCCAGTTGTACTATGGAGCCTGGAGGAAGTATTGCCATTTCCTTCGCTCTGGTGGGCCACTACCAGACTGTTGTGGTGCCACTTTCTTTTGAAAATCCTCCTCCTTGCCAGTGCATACCTCCTTATTAACCACCTCTGCCTCTCTCTCTTCATTTCCCCTTATTCACAGATGATGTTGGGGTCTGGTACACAGTCTTCCGTTCCTTTACCACTTGGCATCATAACAAGTAACTTGCACATTCTGCTCATCTGTTTTTTGATCTCCTAGAATCTAACTATTCAACAATCTTCATTCATCCACATCAGCAGTCTGCATTTAGGGCCACATTATGGATCTCATTATATCCTAGAACTGTTCCCTCCTTGAATTTTAGGGGCCAAGTTACTTTCTTTGAACCTAATTTCATATTCTGCCAACTTTTTTTTTTTTCAGATTGCATCTCACTTTTCCCTTTTCTGTCACTCACTACTGTTGACCACTCTATTCTTTTTGAAACTTGCCCCCTTCTTTTCTAGTTCCTAGCTCCTATTTCTTCATGGGCCTCTCTTCAAACAGTACATTCAAGCTATACTAAACCATTTGTAGCTCCAGAGAACATGCTGTAAGGTTTCATACTTCTATACCTTTGTTCATGCTGCACTCTTTTTTTTTTTTTTTTTTTTTTTTTGGGTCGGCCGCCCCTCACTGTTGTGGCCTCTCCCGTTGTGGAGCACAGGCTCCGGACGTGCAGGCTCAGCGGCCATGGCTCATGGGCCCAGCTGCTCCATGGCATGTGGGATCCTCCCGGACCAGGGCACGAACCCGTGTCCTCTGCATCGGCAGGCAGACTCTCAACCACTGTGCCACCAGGGAAGCCCCATGCTGCACTCTTTGCTCTGCTGCCAGGAATGCTCCTCCCCATCCTGTACACCTGGTGAACACCTGGTTTTCTTTGAAGGCAACTCAAAACTTATGTCCTATATGAAACTTCTTCTGACCGCTTCCCTTTTTGCTTCACTTAGTCAGAGTTTATTTTTCCCACTTTATAACTCCTGAACATTTTTTTTTTTATAAAAACGTTGCTCTGGGACTTCACTGGAGGTCCAGGGGTTAAGACTCTGTGCTCCCAATGTAGGGGGCTCTGGTCCAGGGGTTCAACCCCTGGTTGGGGAACTAAGATCCTGCATGCTGCATGGTGCAGCAAAACAAACAAACAAACAAAAAATTAAAAACATTGCTTCTGTAATGTTTTATTGCATTTGCTTGCTTTACATGTGTGGGTTCTTTTATTTCAGATTCTTCTGAAGGCAAGACTGTGGCTTACTTCTATTTATATCCTCAGTGTCCAACACGGTGTCTGGAATATTGTACATGTCCATTAAAAGTTGGTTGAATATATTATTTATTATACTGATATGAACTGAGCATTTATTCAACAAACATTTATTGAACACCTGTTATTTTCTAGTGTTGGGGATACCAAGCTTCTAGCACACCATCTAGCAGAACAGATATGTTAAGGAAAACAGGTATGTTAAAACTTACCCCAGATATGGCAAGTACTTAGCAGAGGTGTAAATTTTTCATGGATCAGGTAATATATCTTATTAACCACTGTATTTTGGAGCCTAACTCAGTGATTACACTTAATAAGTGCTTTATAAATAGTGATTGAATGAACTGAACCTGTAAAACATTTTGGGCTCAATCTGTTGACTTCATTGTGCAGCTGTTTAATGTTCTAAGCTGGGATAGCTGGAGAGAAATAGAGAAATCATGAAGGTTTTTGGAGCCATTATAACGCATCTGGCTGTATTCTGTAGGCAACTGGGCCAGGAGAGGATTTTAAGCAGAAAAATGGTTGAACAAGCTTAGTTTACTGGGAAGCAAACTGAATGGAAGGGAGAAGAGATGGAAAACTGGGAAATGATGGCGGGGGGAGGGTCACTGCTATTGTTCAGTTGACCGAAGACAGTGGATTAAGGCAGTGAGAGGAAGGATAGATGAGGAGAAAGGGCTGGATTCTAGATTTTTGAAGTGGATCAAGATTTAGTGCCAATGAGATGAGGGAAGGAAGATGGAGAAAGTGAGAGAAACCGTTGTCTGTTAGAGGTTTGTGTCCAATAATGTATGTGATAGTAATGTATAAACTAAGAAACATCACACAGCAGTTGGTTGTTTTTATCTTCTCTGGCTGCTCTTAGTTTTGCTGGGCAACACATCACTTTTAAAGAAATGCGTTCAGATCCAAGGAAAATATCATATTTAGAATTAGGATTTATCATTCCTGAGATTTCTCAAGGAGCAGCGAAGATAATCCGAGCAGAGAGGGAGACGAAAAGAAAATCCCTCAGCTCCTTCTTAGGCAGCTCCTTTCCACTTCCCCGAACTTTCGAGGCACCCGGGAGCCTCCGAGCCCCGCCCGTTTATTCCCAGCCCTCACCATTCTTCCGCGACGTCTCCCCGCTAGCCAATCACGCTCCATAACGTCATTACTATGCGCCTACACTGGATGAGTCGGAGGCCGTCTCACGTGTACTGTGTTGACTGTCAATGTCTCCGGGAGCCCAATTCCCGGAAGCTGTGAGCTCTGAGAGAAGTTCCTGCGCTCGGTGCCCTGAGTCTGCGAATCCCCACCATGAGCACCCCAGGCGTGCTGACCTTCACCCAGCAAGCCTGGGAGCAGGTCCTGGCCAAAGTGAAACGGGCCGTGGTCTACCTGGACGCCGCCTGCGCCGAGAGCCTGCACTGGGGCTGCGGGTCCTCACGGCTGCTGGAGGCGGTGGGGAACTCTGCGTGTTACCTGCGGGAGTTCGAGCCCGCCGCAGTTGGTGGCGGAGCCGAGCAGCCCAAAGCGGTGTTTGTGTTGAGTTGCCTGCTGAAAGGCCGGACCGTGGAGACCCTACGGGACATCATCTGCCGCAGTCACTTCCAGTATTGTGTGGTGGTCACGGCTGTGAATCACGCAGTCCACCTCACGGCTAATCACGTGCCGGCGGCGGCGGCGGCTGAGCTGGAAGGGCAGCAGCCAGTGTTCGAGCAACTGGAGGAGAAGCTGTGTGAGTGGATGGGCAACATGAACTACACGGCTGAGGTGCTGCACGTCCCGTTGTTACTCGCATGTGCTGCTCCCCACCTTGCCTTGACTCCAGCTTTTGCTTCCCTTTTCCCACTATTACCCCAGGATGTGCATATCCTCAACCGTGCCCGATCGGACAAGAGGAGGCTGGGAAACCTGGCTGAGGTGGATGCCACTACCCTAACCCCTGAACTGCTGCTGACGATTAGGTGCCTGGTGTCCGGCCTCAGTTCCCTGTGTGAGCATTTAGGGGTACGGGAGGAGTGTTTTGCTGTAGGTTCCCTCAGTCGGATCATCGGTGCAGATCTGGCCAATTTTGCTCCCGCCAAGAACAGGAGGAAGACCGCCACAGGCAGGGCATCAGTGGTCTTTGTGGACAGAACTCTGGATCTCACAGGTAAGTGGCGTTTGCTGTGGAAGGCTTCATAACCGCTTTCCAAAGTGCTGGGACTTTCATTGATTCAACATATATTTTATTGACCTCTAACTATGTGTCAGGTTGAGAAGTCAAAGAAGAGCTAGATGGACACAGTCCCTGATCCCCCAGTTTATCGTCTAGAGGGGGGATACAGACAAGCAAATCAGCAAATTTGTTAAATGCTATCTTGGGTAAATACATCCTCAGCGTGCACTGCCCTTTTAAACAAGAACAACTGCATCTAGCCCAGAGATTGGAAAACCAGACTTATCCTGACATGGAGGAGAGCTGTCCACCTGGGAACCTTTTAGACATGTGCAGATATCAGTATTCACAACAATCCTTCATAAGAAAGCTTTAAGTTGTTGGAGAAGTATTAACAGATGAACAAGTGGAGGTAACCTGTACCACAAAACACGAAAATATTACAGTTAGTTGACTTTCAAGTTTCTTTACGTGAGTGTTAATAAATGAGGCTGAACTTAAATTTCACCAGAAAATGAGGCTAAACAGAATTGTAGAAAATATGTACAATTGTATTTAGTCTCATTTTCTGGTGAAAATATTTTCAAACGTTCATTTATTCTTAGCTCTCATTCTATTGAAGATTGGGTAGTCCCAAATTGTAATAATATTTATACACATAAGTAACAAATGTTACCCTTAAAAATAGGTGAAGAAAAAACATTTTCTGATATTTGACATGTGCATTTATTTTCAAAGGTCAACTTTATTGTTCTCTAATTAGGTAGATGTAATGCTGCTGGTAGTGTAGGCTGGCCACACCCAAGTTCAGGGAGAATAATCAGGAAACTGACTTTGGCAAGCATTCCCTTCAGTAGGTTAAAAAAAAATGTCAAATGAAGTTAAAAAAACCACAACAGGTGCATTTGAATTTTTGACCTTATAAGATTCATTTTCAGATCATAAAATAGAAAGTAAGCTAAGTGGTAATACTGAGATGTAAGCTTAATTATGTGACTGAAGTAACCAGGTGCTCAGCCTGTCAGTGTGATTTAAATAAAAGTAATCATTGTAACACCCCTGAACTCTTAGAGGATTAAAAACACCTGATAAGTGAGTATATGCTTGTTGAGTTTTTGAGTGCCTGGTATATACTGCTTATGCTTCTATTTCTTTTTGCCCAAAATGTGACATATTGTTTCATAATTAATCAAGGTCACATATTTTTGTGTCCCCCCCCAAGACTCCAGTTAGGCAAACTTTAATGTCCTGGCCATCCAGCATCATAGCAACTACTCCTTTACATATTATGCATCTCTTCCTTGTATATGACTCTTCTAAATACAGAAAAAAACAAGGTAAGTGTAGCTTCTTGTCCTCTAAAAGCTTACAATACGAAGTAGTCAAGAATGATTTAGAAAATAAGGGCGCTAGGAAGACAAAGTTGCCATTCAGCGCAAGTATTTTATACTTTCTCTCGCTTCAAGCCTCCAGATTTCCCTCCCCATGTTCACCCCCTCAGCTTTCTTGCTTTTATATAAGCCACCAGAAAACTGTATCTTCTTATCACTAAGTCTACCAACCTTTTTACCTCTGTACCCCACGTATTTTTCTTTCCTTCCTTCATATTAAAAGATGTACTGTTCCTGCTACTATCTAGTGCCAACTTTTCCTCCTTTGCAGACTAAATCTTTTCCTTTTTCACTTCTCTCATAGGTTTACTTCTTTCAAATACCCTCCCCTTTCCTAGATCATCATTTTTTTAAAAAAGTCTTTTCTACTAGGTTTTCCCCATCAAAATACACACAGAATGGAACATCTCCTTTCTTGACCCCTCAGGCTCAGTTTCACTTTTGCTCCATTTTTAGCAAACTTAGAAATTTGTACTTGCTGTCTCTACAATCATCTGCTTCAATTTTCCCTTGACTTCAATTAGGTTGTTTGCCCCTCAGTTCTCCTCAGGAACTTCCTTTGTCAAGATCACTGGTGGCCTCCATGTCACCAAATCCAATATTCAATTATCAGAATCCATTTTACTCAGTCTGAAAGCAGCATTTGTCACAACAGAGTAGAGGATGTAAATAGTTAAAAAAATACAAATATTAAAGAAGTACAGAAGACATACAGATCATGCAGTTTCTTGTGTAATCCCATCAAAACATGAAACTGGCGACATGTTATTTGCTTGCTCACAACCCTCCCATCACACCCACTATCAAATCTAAGTTCGGTTTAGCACGGTTTCCAAGGCCATACATCACCTGCCTGTGTGTACCTATCCCACCTCATCCCTTATTGATCTCCCCCCACACACTGCTCTCCTGGCATGCTGGCCACCTTGCCATTTCTCAACATGCGAAGTATGTCCCAGCCCCAGGGCCTTTGATGTTCTTGTGCAGCTCAGCTTGGAATGCTCTTCCTTCAGGTGTCTACATGGTTTTGTCGCTCACTTCCTTCGAATCTCCACTCACATGTATCCTCAGACAAGCCTTCCCTGACCACTTTTCTTTAGACACTCTCTAACCCCTTACCCTGCTTTATTTGCCATAGTCTTTACCACTACCTAACATGCTAATTGACTGTCAGTTGCCTGTCTCCTCCCATTTGAACGGAAGCTCGTGAAGGGAGGGGCTCTATTTTGTTTACTGTTTATTAACTAGCACTCAGAAGAGTGCCTTGAAAATAGTAGGTATTCAGTAAATATTTATTGAATGAATGGATGAATGAACAGGTGAATTAAAGGTTGCTGACAGCTAGACTTTCATTGAGGTTAGGATACTTATTTTTTCTGATTGAAAATACTTCTGAGATTCCTAAGTTGCATCACTAGTCATTCACAAATGCAGCGGGGCACACATTTTCTGAATACTCTAAAATTTGACAATTTGGGACCACAGTAGTATTTGAGAAAGGAAATAATAATATTAACTAATCATATTTATGTGATTATTTAATGGATAAAAATCACTTCCACATTACCTTATTTGATCTTCTCAACAAATTAGGTGAGTTAAGTATTATTTATCATTTCAAGAATAAAAAATTGAGGCTCTGAAGTTGTTCTTTACTGGAAAAAAGAAAAGCAGAAACATTAAGTAGTAGGCCAGATGTGACAGGATTGCTCCAATATTTCTATTAGTGACCGAGGTCAGCATCTTTTGTTTTCTGAATTGTCAGAGTTAAGTGCTCACTTTCTTTGTACTTGTTTAGGATCCTTCTGCCAGTAGGTGGGCTTCCAGGGTGTGCTTTAAATTGGTGATGGTACTCATTAAGCAAACTGGTGTGGGAGAAGACATTTTAGGTACATGAGACCATGTAAAAGGATATTTAATGTTAAAAGGGGCACTGTTCAAAGGGAGCAAATGGGAGGTCTCTCTGGGTAGATTCAAGGCAACAGGTAAAGAGAAAGAAAAATTCATTTACTTTGTCCAGGGCTTAGGAGGAACCATGAAAGTATTGTTTTCAATAGAATGCCAAGAGAACTATGCAAGCTGATGATAAAGCAATGGGAGTGAACCTCCCAAAAGTTCCTTGAGGTATTTCCCAAGTACATTTAAAATTATAAGGACTCTGCTTCCTTCCTACTTTACTGAATAATTCAGTGGAAAAGCATCTAGGTGGGGCTAAGCAAGATAGGTGTCCATGCAGGGAGGAGAGCGCTACCAGGCCTGGGTGACGGAGCTCGAGTTGGGTGAGATCTCCTGAGTGGGGAGAGGTGCCTGCATGAGGTGGTGGGTGGCAGCAACAGTGGCCTGGTGGGATAGGAGATAAAGGGAAGCCAGAGTGGGTGGCATAAAGGGGTGTCCCTGGGGCGCAACTATCTACCTCTCTACTGGTGCATGGAATGAGTTTGATTTGTGGTCCCCTCTGAAACCAGTAAGCTTTGGCATAGTGTAGCCAAGAAAAGGTCCATGATCTACTTCCCATTTTTAAATTATGACATTCTCTCCTTCAGAAGGGATCTAAATTATATCTGGCTGGTGGAGGGTAGATTTTGGAGGATAGATACTAATTGGAGCAAGTTTGTTACTATGTCCTAATAACTTATAAATTGAAGTTTTTTTAATGGATACCTTTTGGATAACCCTCCATACTATCTTCCAGATGGTCAGTTTAATGGTTCATTTATTTCAAAAATGTTTCAACATAGTGTTATTCCATATTGGTAATCCTCAGGGCTGGTTTTCAGTTGGTGCGTAGCTGTATTGTCAAACCTGTTTTTTAAATACTAAAGTACTTCTGTACTAGCCAGTAAAGGGAAATTCTCTACTTGTTGAGAATTACCTGTTACTGTTGCCTGGCGGAGGCGAGTGATAGGGCTTAGGAGCATTGTGGTGTGGATGCAGCTGACCCCCAGGGGTGTTGAGGCAGCAGAGGGAACTCACGCTGGTAGTGATGGTTGTAGAGATGCAGCACTTCTCCTCTGCTCCAGAGTGGCCCAAAATTGGATGGGGTGGTAGGGTAGGTGGTGTTGGTGGCACTGTTTTTGGCGCGGGTGCTTTCCAACCTTGATCCAGGCTCTGGCGTCCAGGAACATACCCGATCACCATGCTCAATATTTTTACTGATCTTTCCTGGATGCAACAAGCATAAGGAGCTGGGGAGGTAATGACTTGTTGTTACAAGAATTTGGCGTGGGGCTTCCCTGGTGGCGCGGTGGTTGAGAGTCCGCCTGCCGATGCAGGGGACTCGGGTTCGTGCCCCGGTCCGGGAGGATCCCACGTGTTGCGGAGCGGCTGGGCCCGTGGACCGTGGCCGCTGGGCCTGCGCGTCCGGAGCCTGTGCCCCGCAACGGGAGAGGCCACAGCAGTGAGAGGTCCGCGTTCTGGGAAAAAAAAAAAAAAATTGGCGTCGTTTCTTTTCTTTTCTTTTCTTTTTTTTTAATTTTTAGTGGAGTACAGTTGATTAAAAATGCTATGCTAGTTTCTGCTGTACAGCAAAGTGAATCAGCTATACATATACCGGTGTGGTTTCTTGCATCATATTGTGATTTAGACAGAATGTGGGGCATTGTT